AGTCGGGAAGTGGTTAGAAAGAATAATACTTACTTATGGCGGATGGTAAGTTTAGCCCCGGGCAATTCCGCAATACTACAAAGCTAATCTAGAGTTAGTTACGGAGTATGCCAATGCCTGGGCACTGAAAAGTGTGTAATTCCTTGGGTATCCGCTATGGAGAGGGTTCACTGACCAGACTCCGACTTTTCTAGATCTGTGGAGTTGACGTTACCGCGAGATAAGGGAGTTCAAAGATCTGCATGGCCTGATTAGATCGGGAGTATGGTTCATTATTCTTCAAATATACCAGTACGACATAACTAAGACATGCCAATATTTACGGCAAATTAATGTTGATGGTTTCGGCCCAGCACCAATCAGGGGGCAGGATTGAAGTTTTAATAACATTTTGACAAGGACTTAGTTGATGTGATAATGCTGTTAATGGAATCAATTACCGGTTATTACTATCTTCCTTGTCTCACCCAACTCTAGTTCTCTACCGCTGCATCGGATAATGGTTGTACGGAGTATAGCTATTAATCTCGACAGCCACATAGACTATGCTAGAGTAGTTAGCCTTGTGAAAGCATTAGATAGCATACGCATACTTCCAACTATTCACTTCCCAATCTCCTAAATTCTGCTCCAATCTTGCCATATACCCCCTTCCCTTACTCCCGTCCCTTCCTCCCTTCCCTTACCCCCTCCCCTCTCTCACTCTCACTCACTCACTCTCTCTCTCTCTTCTTACCTCGCCGTCCTCGCCGTCCTCTGCGTCTCTTCACTCCTCCGTCTGTGCGCTGATATGATGACTAATATCATGACTAAGCAAGTTGCCCTGGCAACTCCGTCCATCGACTTGCAGCTTGCGATCTCAAAGCCAACTTTTAGTGCACGAATGATAACCTGACCCTAGCCAGATCGCTGTCGCTAATACAGCCAGCAAAGATTAGTGACTTGAGCTAGCTAACTTATCGATCTAAGCTGCGTGCAACTGTTTTTCGTGGCAGCCACACGCGCAACGGACTGCAGCGCGAGCGAGTGGGCGGGCGAGAGAGCTAGCGAGTCCAATCCTCCTTCGCGGGGCAGAGGCGATAAACATCAACATTCACTCAATTCCACATCAACATCAACAGCAACCGCCCATCCTGTTTACTTATCGACCCTGTGATGGATGCGAATAATATACCACCATACTCCCTCGGAAAGCAGACAACCCCCCATTTCCCACCGATGCTCAACACGCGGTCTGGCAACGAGCCCTATGAGCGGCCGTTGACTCCCCCTCAGACTCAGGCCGGCTTTATCAGTCCCATCAACACCCCGCAAGGCAGCCCGAGCAAAAACAAAGTACCGCCTGGTGCCACAGGGCTAGTCAATGTGTTCGACAATGCCATGAGGCTCACCCCGTCTTCGCCGTCCAAGTCAGGTTTCGGTAAATCGCCACTGTCGCCAGGACGAGGCCAGGTTGACGATTTGACTGCGTACAATGAAGGAAGGGAAGAGTCTGTGAGGCCGGGGAGCCCTACTCGGCTGTCAAACAAGGAGAATGCCCCAATCCCTGGGCTGCGGTCAGGAAAGGAAGCGAATACTTTAAGCCATGCTGCTATGTCGCGTCGTGAGCAGTATCAGACAGGTGATCGGATGGAGGCTGGCCTTCGAAAACCACAAGCTCAAATCAGGGGCTTGACCGCAGAGGAACTGGAGAAGTTACAGCAGCCGAAAGTTAAGCGTCTTGCCAATGTCACGCAGCTCTGTTAGTTATACTTTTTGACATCCCCTTTGGTTCCTGGATATGCGCTAACCTAGTAAAGATTTCCTTGACCACTACTTCAACCTTCTCAGCTATGTTCAGAACCGACAGATACGCAGCGCCCAATTTGCTGCTGCCTATCCCCCTCCACCTGAGACAGATGAAGCAGAGTACGAAGTTGCACGCCATAAATATTTAGGCCGAGAACGTGCCAACCTTCGCAAACGGAGGACTCGTCTGCGACATGGCGACTTCCAGATTCTAACCCAAGTTGGTCAGGGAGGCTATGGGCAAGTCTATCTCGCACAGAAGAAGGACACTCGTGAAGTGTGCGCGTTAAAGGTCATGAGCAAGAAGCTGCTCTTCAAGATGGACGAGATCAGGCACATCTTGACGGAACGTGACATCCTAACAACTGCAAAGAGTGAATGGTTGGTGAAGCTACTTTATGCTTTTCAGGACGATACTCAAATATACCTTGCCATGGAATACGTCCCTGGAGGTGATTTCCGTACTCTACTCAACAACACAGGGGTCCTCCACAACCGACACGCTCGATTCTATATCGCTGAGATGGTAGCCTGCGTGGATGCTCTCCATGTTCTCGGATACATTCATCGAGACTTGAAACCAGAGAACTTCCTTATTGACTCTACCGGACACGTTAAGTTAACTGACTTTGGATTGGCAGCGGGCATGCTTAATCCTACCAAGATTGAGTCTATGCGGTTGAAACTAGAGGAGGTCGGAAAGACGGCCGTGCCATTTGGTCGGCCGATGGAGCAACGCTCAGCTGCTGAAAGACGCGAGGGTTACCGATCACTTCGAAAGCTTGATGTCAACTACGCAAAATCAATCGTTGGATCGCCTGATTATATGGCTCCAGAGGTGCTGAGCGGTGAGGAATACGACTTCACTGTTGACTACTGGAGTTTGGGGTGTATGCTCTTCGAAGCTCTGACGGGCTACCCTCCTTTCGCTGGAGCTATTGTGGATGAAACATGGCAGAATCTCAAAAATTGGAAAGATGTGTTGCGCAAGCCACAATACGAAGATCCGAACTACTATCTCTCCCGACGTACTTGGGACTTTATTACTCGACTTGTTGCTTCGAAGGAACATCGGTTCAAGAATGTTACTGAAATTCACAACCATGACTATTTCGCTGAAGTTAACTTCAACACCCTGAGAGAAGAGCAGAAGGCTCCGTTTGTCCCGGACCTTGACTCTGAAACGGATGCTGGCTACTTCGACGACTTCGGAAACGAGGCTGACATGGCTAAATATAAGGAGGTACATGATAAACAGAAGGCACTTGAGGATATGGCTGATCGTGACGAAAAGATGAACAAGAGCGTCTTCGTTGGGTTCACTTTTAGGTATGGAATCGCACTCTAGAGATTACTTCTACGCGATTTTTTTTTGCTAACGGTGAAATGAATAGACATCGAAAGCCGGTCATTGATAGCGACGGACGCAGCAGCCCTCGGAAGGGTATCCCGACCGACGGATCCTTTGGAACCATGTTTTAAAGAAAATTGACTCGCCGAAGCCACTGCTTTCACCGACGTTGTGTGTTTGCCACCGACTATCTCCAATATATCCATCCCTCCTTCTTCAACCCCTTCCCAGAGCTGGCTCCGTTAATTTTACCCATTCGCTTTTCCTTCAACCGCTCGGCAAATAAATTTATTGTAATATCTGTAGCTGTTTTACATGGCGTGGTGCAGGCATTCATTTTCACTCTCATTTTTATCCCACCCCCTTGACATTCAGACCTTGCCAAACGTACTACAGATATGTTCTAAACCTCCATACTCTGGTCCATCTTTTCTCCTTTTCCTTTGACTGTGTGAATCCTTTTCTTCTTGTGCATTTTTTTGTTGCATACACTCTCATCATCTGTTCCTGGTTTCTTTAGGGTGGGTAAACGTTTCTCTTTTCTTTTGGTATCGTAGCCTTATTATAACATTACGAGTATAGTTGACTGATGGTTCTGTTTCTCTCCTGTAAATGTCTTGAACCACAAAACTTGTAGACGTCTATTGTAGTTGAATGTATGTAAACAAAGGAACTGACTGGCTGGTTTAAGCGTGGAGGCGCCTGGGCGGGATGACGTAACGAGCTCGTATGTTTAGAGCCGCATAACGAGTTTAAGGATCTGAACCTTCAATCACAGACCGGAGCTTCTTCCAACCTTCCCTCTACCATCGACCTCGCATTCAACCAACGAGCTCAACAACCACGAAGCTAACTGGACAAATACACCCCAATCGTTCTTTCACCATGTTTCGCTTTGTAAGTTCTTTCTGTTTGACTCTCCAAGTAACCAACATCGACTAACAAAGCGCCTTTACCGTGCCTAGCATAAAACCTTAGACATCATCACGCTCTTCCACAAGCCCACCCTCGCATCATCCACCGAAGCACTATCTGTCCTGCAGAGGGCCTCAACAGCCATCAAAGAAGGAACAGCAACATCCCCTTCCGGCTCCCCACTACGAAATTCCGACTTCGAACTAAACGTTACGGAAGAGCCGCCAACCACGGACCAACTCAAGCTTATCATGGATTACATGACATCCTCCCCTCTTGCGAGCGGGGGTATCGGGGTGGGCAAGCCAGGTGACTTGGTATCTGGAGCTACAGACCGATCTGATGCTGTTAAGCGGCTGAAGGAGAATGGTGACAGTTTCATAAGGCCTGTGGTGAGTTGTGAGTCACTGGGTTAGATATGGAATGGGGAACTGACTGGGTTGATCTGCGAATGTAGGTTGTGGACTGGAATAATGGGAAAGCAGGTATGTTCCGTTTCAGATATGAGAGGTGTCTTGTAAATTATGTGTGTGCTAATTGGGATCGTTTCATAGTGCTTGCTACGAGTGAGTCGGCGATATTGAAGCTGCTCTCGGAAGAGACCTGAAGACGCTAGTGATCATAAAGACTCCTTCCCCACTCTTACGGTTTTATTATTTACTTTATAACATGAATGAAACGAGTACGTGTTAGTCGTTGAGGGAAACATCGCTGTATTATTGTTGTATATTATGTATTGATGCTCTAATGACTAAAAATTTTTTACGCTGCTCTATACGAAGCGCATTGAGTACGCTACCTGAATGCTACATTATCAGTGTAATGTAGCGGACGAACGACGGCCTATATATCTTGCCAACCAAAGAGCGAGGAAGACAAAGAAAATAAGCCCAAGAGCTGAGGAGAATATCCATTGACGGTCGTTGCTGGGCTTACCCACACCGAGTCATAACTCAGAAGAGGCCGCAGTTCCCTCAGCCGGGATGATGCGGTCAAGGAATTTCTCGAGGTCCTGAATCTCATCTGGATCGCCGGAATGGCCCAGTCCGCTATGAAAGGAAAATATTAGCACAGACATCACGTAGTGAGCGACTTGAAGATATTTTAACGCACTGATAAGTTTTAAAGTCGACGTCGACGCCCATATCCTTCAGGATGGAGGCAGTTTTCTCTCCATACTGGTGCTTAACCACCTGATCGATATCTCCATGGCCCATAAAAAGGGGTGTCTTCTGATTCGGCCAACCCTCTGGGATATGCTTCTTGAGCTGTTCAGAAGACAAAGGAAGGTAGCATGACAAGCCAAAGATACCACCTAGCTTTACAGGGGAAGCGAAGCCGGTGACCAGCGCCATAGCTCCGCCCTGAGAGAACCCACCGAATACGATGCGAGAGGGTTTGATTCCCTTGTCTATTTCTTCTTTGATGAGAGTGTTGAAGTAATCGCGGGACTTCAGGATGCCTTCCTCGTCACGCTGGGCAAAGAACTCCTCCATGGTTTGCTGGTGGCTGTTAGTGTTCAAGTGTTCATCGTGGGTTTAGGGCGCGAGTGTGAGGGTGGGATCGCGGAGGGAATCGTACTGTAGGAGAGAGGTTTTTGATATCGTACCATCCCGGCATGGACATGCCGAAGTTCTAAAGCAGACGATTGACAGTCAGCAGAGGGAAGAGTGGAGAGAGGACAGGGACAGGGGAGATGAGGGCAGACATACCACGGTGATCGGGATGGAGGGTGCGTTGGGGAAGATAAAGGAGACTTCATCATACATCCCGCGTCGGCGCCAGTTTTGGGCCATCATCATCCTTCAGTCAAGGCATATTAACAAGTGTTCAGCTGCATGTACGGAGTATAGGGCGCATCGCATCATACCAGCCTGCTCCGCTATTCGGGTTCGGTTAGAAGTGGTAAGACTCTGTAGCTGTTGCGCGAAGGATAACTCACGTGTCACCCAGGCCATGGGCCATGATGACGGTAGCGGTGTGCCTCTTAAGGGCCGGGACAACAAATGGTGCTTTCGTGGCCATGGTGACGGCGTTGTCAGTGTGGAATTTGGTTATGGATGAGTTGCTTGCCCTTGATCTCTGGCCTTCAAGGATGGAAGAAAAAGGAACAAAACTTTCCTCGGCTCGCGATAAGCCTTATCTTTGTTACTAATATATTACTAATCAAAGGACCTCATGGGTTTGGTCACGTGCAGCGCGAAGGATGGACGGAGACGAGGAAGACGGACGACGTCAAGGAAGAAGAAGAAGAAAACACTTGGGAGAGACAGAGGAAGAAGTGAGATCGATCGAGTCATATTTCGTCATATCCGCACCAAGTTTATCCATCGAATGATGTTGGGGGTATCATCTATTGTACATATTTACAAGAGAGCAACGCCTCCAGCGACGGCAGCACCAAGAACGCCCCAAACAGCGGCTGTCTGAAGCGGTGCCGCGTTGCCAGTTGGGCTGGGACTCTGTCCACCAGAACCTCCAGAACCTCCAGAACCACCGGAAGAACCACCCTGTGGCTGACCATTCGGCGTGGACTCGTTGGCGTTTCGATTAGCAGCCTCGCCGCTGAAGGGCATGGCCTCGACGCCGGTGCCGTTCTTGCAGCTCTCCGGCTTGACATATCGTGCAGACATGGTGTACACGGCGTCGATGCACTGTGAATAGCTCGTTAGCATATTGGCCCCAAAAAACAACAAAAAGATGATAGTCATGAGGGCAGAGGGGCAGTTCATACGTGGAAAAGACCGCCCTTTGGATCACCGTTGCTGAGAACCTGGATGGTGGCCTCCATGCCATCCTTTGGCTTGAAACCGACGACGTCCTCTGAGAAGGACACTTCTGGGAGACAGAAGGCTCCGAGACCGACTTGTCTGAAGGTCTTGACGACGGAGATATTGAAGTTGGATCCCGGGTTAGATCCTAGGCCGAGCAGCACCTGGACGGCCGCCTGGTCGTGGCCCATCTCCATGGCAATGGCAAGTTTTGGGTCATCGAGGGGAATCTTGACTCTTTCCCGGGAGGGCTCTGTTGGGCCACCGCATGGGAACATCGGCTGGGTGTCTTCGCTGCCACCTCGAGTTGGAGGCGCCTCGACGTTGAAGTGCGCAGCGACGAGCGGCAGCAGGGCGGGGAGGATCGCGAGCAGCTTCATCTTGACCTGTCTTGACTCGTAACGGTCTGTCACTATCGCAAGCGGGAATTTCAACAATTGAGCGTGTGATAATGAGACTACGACCAAGCAGAGGCAGAGGCAGAAACAAGGAGGGCCCTTTGCCCCTTTATACCAACCCAACCCAACCTTCTCCCTTACTCTGCCATTGCTAGGCACTTTCTGTCCCCCCCGCGGATGTTGCCTTCGCCCTTTTTTGCTTCTGCCGATACCCGGGCATCCTCCAGCCAATGAGACGCCGGCTAATGGCGAGTGACTTCGCTTCTCCCGCAAATTTTGGGCGCAGCGCAAAGTTACTCTCCGCAACCTTTTAGACGCAGGGGAAGCCGCTCTGCGCTTAGGTAATATGCTCAATCCCACTCACGGGGGAAAAAGCAAACAGCGTTTGGATGTCGAAGTCGTTACTCCTACCAGGTTCTATAATTAGGTATGGATATGATAGAAACGGAGATGGAGATAAAGATATATACAGATGCCGATGGTATAAACATGAAGACAACGAAAGACGAAAGAGAATGAAAGACAACGAAAGAGGATGAAAGAGGATGAAAGACGCTAATGCTCCTCGAAACGGTGGGCATAACGCCCTACTGCCAGGTCGCCGACAAAGATGCCCACCAGGATACACATGAAGTAGCCGACGTTCATGGTCATCACAGCCAACATGCTATTTCGGTGTTAGTATAAGATACACCACCACAAGGAAAATGAAGTAGAGGAATTGCGTACAGGAGATAGCCGACACCAGCGTTGAGAGTCACCATGGCCGCCCGCGGCAGGTCAACGCTGAACCTCCAGGGCATCACCGGCGGCCCTGCAGTCGCGTTGACGACTCGAACATTCTCCTCGACGCCGTGGGCGCTTATCAGCCGGCCCGTCTTCTTCTCGTCTGCGTCCTCGCTGCTGCGTTCCGACTCGGGCTCTGTTGGCGACGTCGGCGATCCGGGCGGTGATATCGATGCCCTCCGGCCCTGGACTATGACATATCGTCGTTCTCTGGCTGCGGCGAGGAAGCGCCGGTCCATGATAGATTTGGCCGTGAGCAGCACTCTGGCCACGACTCCGAGCACAATGAGGAAGATGCATGTTCCGGCGTATGCACCACTGGTCCGCGGCGTCCAGCTCAGCGTGTACAGGGGCGTTGCGGGTATGTTCTGGAAGACCATGGCCACCGCCATGTTGGGGTCCGACGAGCCATGCGAGTGAGCCATCCTGCTGTCGAGAACCGAGGACGGCGTCTGGCGATGAGTGCTGGGCAATGGAGGATGTTGTTGATGTTGCTGTCTCCTCCTCGACTTGGAGGCTGCGACGCCGATGATGATGTTGAAATAGGGAGCGACGACAAGCGACTAAGCGACAGGGAAAAAAAAAGGACCCGCGGGATGAGCAGATTATTAGGCATAAGCTTGCTCTTTTTGCTAACCTTAACCTTGTCTCGGTTGGCTTATGTAATATGCTCACCCTCCAACTCCCGCGGTTGCTATTAATACATTATTATTTTAGGGAGATTTCAACTCCTCCTCGAAACTACCCCGGGCTATCTCGATTACTGTCGCTGTCACTGTCACTGTTACTACCGCGGACAGGGGGTGATAGGAAGATGGCTCACAATCATGGCGGAGGCGCGACGCCCACGGGGGACGGCGTGCCAACGTACTTTGAGATGCAGCGGATGTACTGGGCGGTCGTCGGGACAGCAATTGGCGTCGCTACAGCTTGCAACATCCTCAACAAGATAGTCGCCGCGCAGAGGTATGTAGGAAAAGAGCGGCTGCATGGTGACGTAGAAAGCTGGCTGTTATATATAGGAGAATTTTGACTGACAAAGGGGTAGATCGACCGACACGACGAGGACGCCGGCAAAGCCCAAGTCGCTCTTCTTCAACATCTATGCGACGCTCACAGCCATGGCGAGAGAATACTCGTCAGCAACCCTCAGCCCGCTGAAGATGGGGCGGTGGGAGCTCCAGCCGCCGCCGCTGGGCAGAGTCAGCGTTGTCCTGGCCAACTTCATCGCCGTCATGGTGTTCTGCTTCTACAAGCTCAACACCTTGGACAAGTGGTCGTGGGAGACGGTCGGGTACCGGACCGGGTTCATGACCGTCGCCCAGCTGCCGCTCATCTTGCTGCTGGCCGGCAAGAGGAACATCATCGGCTTCCTGACGGGCTCCAGCCACGAACGGCTCAACTGGCTGCACCGATGGACCGCCAGGACGCTCTGGATGTCCGCTACCGTCCACATGGGGTTCTGGTTCCGCAGCTGGGGGCGCTTCAACTACATTGCTACCAAAGTCAGAACGGATCCCCTGACGCAGCGAGGGATAGCAGCCTGGTCTATCCTTACCTTCATCCTCTTTGCCACTCTTTCGCCCGTGAGACGCTGGAGTTATGAGCTTTTCTTCGTCTCCCACGTTGTGACTTATGCGGGCTTCATTGCTGCTGCATGGCTGCATGCCGAGCCCGAGGTTAAGATGTGGGTTTGGGTGTCTATTGCTCTCGTTGTCTTTGATCGAGTAGCCAGGTGGGCGATGATGGTTTGGTCGAACCTCGCTATCTTCTCCCGGTCATCTTCCCGCAGTAACTCCCCCTCTTCTTCTCTGTGGGCGAACTATGCTACATTCGCCCCCTTGGCTGGAAATGTTACCAGAGTCACCATCCGCAACCCAGTCATCTCCTGGAAGCCGGGCCAGCATGTCTTCCTCTTCGTCCCTGCTCTTGCCCCCTTCCAAAGCCATCCGTTCACCATCTCTTCCCTTCCATCGGACAACAAGATAGAATTCCTCATCCGTGCCGAGTCAGGTGCTACCAGAGCCATTCTCAACCACGCGGGGAAGTGGAATACCACCATCGACTCGGACTCAACTCGTCTTGTTGCTCTCGATGGACCATACGGCGCTATCAGGCCCCTTCGCCAGTTCGACAGTGTCGTCTTCTTCGCAGGCAGCATGGGAGTAACTTTCACCATGCCATTACTGCGTGACATTGTCGAGGGCTGGAAGGGAGAATGCAACGGCGGTTCCGTCCCCATTACCAAACATATCCATTTTGTCTGGGCCATTCGTTCCCATTCACACATCTCATGGTTCCAGAAGGAGCTGGAGTCTCTCATGCGGGACGTGGAAGACTGCCGAGCAACCAACTCCAAGTTCAGGCCAACGTTTGAAATAAGCATATACCTCACTTCCGATCCTCATCTGTCTGCTACTAGCCCTTCGGCTCACGGTACCGGTCTACATATACAACGTACCCCTTCGACAGCTTCCGATTCATCTCAGACGACATCCCTTTCCCCCCTTGTTTCCTGGGAAAAGGGTCTATCTTCCAAGTCCCCAGTCTGTCTCAGGACGGGTAGACCGAATATCGACAACATCATTCTCTCGACTCTTGAGGTGGCAGAGGGCGAGAGCGCTGTCGTCGTATGCGGTCCCAGTGGGCTCAGCACAGATGTACGACGCAACGTCGTCTCTCTATCTGACGAACGAGCAGTACATAAAGGTACAGGGGCGCAGGGTATATATTTACATGTCGAGGAATTCGGTTTCTAACGCCCTTTCCACCCGCCCCCTTTTTCTTCAAGTACATAGTCAGTGATGTCATGAGTATATAAATGAGACGCCTTTTTTTTTCACACTCTCTCCATCTCTCGCATTTAAATTCCCCGTCTACTTGTTGTGCTCCTGTCCCAGCCAAATACAGCCCTCTAGGAAGCGCCCTATTTTATCAACCCCCGTCTCGTCCAGACATGCCACTCCACCAACATACCCATCCGGTCTAATCACGGCAATAGCGCCTTCATCCTCACTTACACCATAAAGCTGGTATGCATCCTCACTAGCAACAGCAGAACAATAAACGTTCATTTCTGCAACTTCATGCAGGGAGCTAGGCACATCACTCCAGACAAAGGATGAAGTAGGCAGTGGGGCCTTTGGTGGTGAGGTTGGCGTTAAACCTACCAATGCACGCGGGTAGATGGTGATAAGCTGCAAGATATTACCGGATGAATACATGGAGGATACCCGTTTGACCATCTCACAGAGTCCAGTTAGAGTCTGACTTGACATTCCGTTCGGATCAAGTAAGTCACCCGATGTAAGGCATAGGACCCGAAATGCGCCGGTGGCTGGTATTTCTGTTGCAAAAATAACATACAAGTTAACCCATTTGATCTAGTTAATCTAGTTATATGCCGACAGGTCGGCATGGTAAAGGACAACGAACCGTCGTGTAAGTCCACATGGCAGCCGTCTGCATGTCTCTTCAGCTTGACATTCAACAACCGCCTACCAGGCCTCAAGATACCAGCCAGATAATCCGTTCCCCTGATCACATTGTGATCAATGGATTTATCGACCAAGATGCTCTCGGGATACTCAATTCCACATCCACTAGTGAACCCGTTGCCGGTCCTGAATACTTCCAGGAACTGGTCATGTGTCAGTTTGGAGCCAGCTGCACTTGCAGTGCCGATTTTGCCCGAGAACATGGAGGAGAATGACCGGTCAAATTCGATTAGTTGTTGTGCAATTGTGCGGCGTTCTGTCTCGTAGGTGTCGAGAATTGTATCCGGGGAACTGGCGCTCTTGTGTGAGACGGGAGAAAGTCCGTTAACAGAGTAAGCCAGTTTCCATGCGAGGTTGAAAGAGTCCATCATTGAGACATTCATCCCTTGACCAGCCTGTGACATGTTAGGGTACAACCTCTGTATACCACTTGGAAGAGTGCTTCTATCAAGTTACTTACCTTGGGACTATGCGTATGGCATGCTATATACCGTCAGTCAACACATTCTTTGTTCCAAAAAAAGGACCTCCGGAACGTACCATCTCCAACAATGAACACTCTGTGCTTTCCATTGGCGTCCCTCACTAAGAAGTGGTCGCTTACTCGCTGTCCAATCTGGTATGCAGTCCACCATTCGACCTTCGTGCCCTCCCTCTGCTTAATATAGTATGGTTTGATAGCCTCCTGGGCCTGCTTCATGATACTTTCCACGGTAACTTGTCCCCGTCGAGCTCTAGGGTCATCATACCCTTTCTTAAACCCTTGAGCTTTCGTTGTTCCTGCAATATCAGCTTCATCAACCTTGACGTCACCGGGAACCTGCACGTAAAGACGCGTAATGAAAGCTCCCGTCATGGACCGCTCGCGAGGGATGATCATGATGGAGCCAGCATCGGAATGAACAGCAGTTTGTCTTCGAACATCCGGGAAATCTGTATCAACTACCAGATCAATGACACCCCATATATGGTCTGTCATCTCCCCTTCTAGCTTCAACCCCATGCATCGACGAACAGTTGAGTGTGCGCCATCTGCACCGACAAGGTACTTGGAGCGAATAGTCCGTCTCCCGCCTGTTGGAGATTCAATTTCAGCAATGACTGGGAAAGCCGGGTCTCCTTCCTCGTCAATTTGCACGTCGAGCAGGGTCGTGGATCGTCGAACGCCTCCCGAGTACCGGAGAAGGTCGTCTTCGAGGATACGCTCCACTTTCCCTTGATGCGTAGTGGCTTCATGAGGATATCTAGCTGCGAGCGCAACATCGTCCACGATGGCAGTCCGCTCGATGCCTCTTGACCCAGTATTCGGTTCCCCTTCTCCCCCTTTCTGCTGAACAGGGTTCCAAAACGCAACCTCCCACACTGGGCAGCCGTCTGTAGATATCTCGTGCATCAACCCGAGGCTTTTAAGTACTTCCATTGTCCGCGGCTGTATCCCATCTGCCTGGCCTGCTCTCAGGATAGTGTCCCTGGACTCAATGCACAGAACCGACTTCTCTCCAAGTCCAAATCGTGAGAGAAGCAGCTTGAGCAGCATCCCGGCTGGGCCAGCCTATACTCCATAATCAGTCAATCATCCTTCTTCTTGTTCCTCCAAGCATTATCTGCCATAAACTGTCGTAAAGATCATGCCCCCGGACTTACCCCTGCGATCACCACTTCATATCTATTCTCCTCAGCGACGTGATCAGGCGCGTATCTCGGTAGCGAGGGAGCAAGAGAAGGCATCACATTAGGATCATGGCGACGATAGCCAGTATCCTGATAGCCTATGCTACCCATCTTGCCGGTCGTGGTCCTTTTACTGGCTCTTGTTCTGGTGTTGGCTGTATTCCACTCTGGGCAGGCCCCTTATATAGTCGCGGGTTAGTGCACCGGAACACAGGTGTCTGAAAGCCTTCCGCACGGAATCCTCATGTTTATATATAGCCATACAATCAGCTATATTTAAACTGGCGTAACATCAAAAGACGCGAATTCCGATGCATCCCCGACGGTCACCAGCGCAAGCGGTGCGACGGATGTGCACGCCCTGCATCTCCTTGTCCCATTGTCCATAAATATCCTGCATTTAGAGGCCCCGGAGTCGAATAGAAGCGGTTTTCTAGCTGGCTAACTTGACGATCAGTTCTGTGTGGTTTGAAATATAACCGATTTCTCGGTCTGGCTCTTGTTATTATATGCGGTGACATGAATGCCAGTGGATGTTGGTACAGGATCCCTACACAATAGAGGAGCTGGTTGGACGAGGCATGCAGCTCAAGGGTGTTCATGCAGGCAGTGGACGGGGGCCTGCAGGAAGGGCAAGGACTGCCACATTCTTTTCTCGTGAGACCAGATAGAAGAGATAAGATATGGTAGAGAAGACAGAAGAGAACAGAGAAGACAAAGAATGACCAAGGGTCTGTTTCGTGCAGGGAAGCGGGCGGTTGTAGATGTCTACGAGGGCATAGACAAATATACGCAGCGCCGCCTCAGCTATCTACGTATGGATAGATAGCTGCTTCGGGGTGGTATCAATCATGAATTAACACATAAGTCTAGTCGTAGGTCTATCTCGGCCTCCTCAACAAATGGAACAAGTACATAGTAGTAGGTAGTAACGGTGGTGGCCTGCCTCAGCCAGCCTTATACTGGATCCCTGCTGCCTCTCATATAACAGTGATCTTTGACTCAGTCCGCGCCGAGTCAGTGCAACATGGATTAACATAGCAAACTCCCTGGCGAGCGTGGTGGGAGTAGAAGGGAGAAGAAGAAGAAAACAGTACATAAGAGACAGGTCATATGGAGGGAGAATGAACGAAAAAAAGGAAACACACGATAAACACAAGCGCGAGCTATCATACGCATTTCGTCGAAGATACAAAAAGATGCTGTGAGCCAGCGATGGTCAAAAGGTTGGAGTCCAGATGGGCGAGGGAGTCGTAGCAAGATGGCTGGTTAGAGCGTGCAGTATGGTGAATGTCCAAGGAGGGTTTGTGGAAGGGAAATTGAGCAAAGGTTGGCTATATTTCTTCTCTGAGGCCGCAGAGATCGGTTCCCAGTACCATGTCGACCATGTGCCAGAATCGCCAGTAGAGGTTCGACTTTTGATCGTCAAACGAGCCATCTTCTCGCAGAGCAGGCCCGTCGCCGACAATGTCTCCCGTGAACCAACTCAGAATTGGTATCGACCGGAGCACTCGTTCCGTCATCGAGGGCTGGGGAGGAAGGGCTTCTGAAGCTGGACGCACAACTGCCCGTCGAACCGTGGGTATATGGGTCATAAATTCAGATTTGGCTGGTTTCGCTTCGGCTTCGGGTTCCGGTTGAGACCGGCCCGGTCGCTGGCGAAGAGTGTCCGCGTCTATATTGTTCTGTCCCATGACTGTGGCAGAGCTGGCCGTTGCTGTAGATTGAACGGACGCAGGGGCCTCGAAGCTATTACTTTGAGTATATGAAAATGAGCGGGGCAGAGATGAGCGATCATATTCGTTTGACTGCAGTAGCGATGCAGATGTGGATGGCTTGAGGGATGGATAGATCGAGTTGAGCCGCGACTGCTGCTCAAGGGTTGCTTTGAGTATGGGGGCGTCTTCTTGTGGTCCGTGGCCGTGGTACATCTCGCAGTGTACGAGACAGCCGTCAATTTCCTGGGGAGAGAAGTGACAAGCTCTATCAGCAGCTGCGAAAGAGTCAAAGGTCACTTTGATCCAGTGTGCTCCTCCGGCATATCTTTTTGATTTCCTGTTGGCATCGGCTGAAAGTTTCGGACGGATAACAACGTCACCTCCGCTAAGCAATTGAGGGTACTTGGGGTTGATCTCAGGATCGGTCCGGGAATAGTCTTCGCAGATATAGCCCAGTGAGATGCGTTCAAACTTGTCGATAACCTTCCACTCAACGCCCTTATCTTTGTACCCGTAGAGTATACATTCGGTCGCAACAGAATCTCCCGGTGTCCTGCTAGTCGCTGCATCATTCGAAGTTGTGTTGTTGGCTGCGAGTAATTTCTGCTGCGCTTCTTCCTCTTGCTGCAGGCTAAACAGTCTGCCGAACTCTGCAACATTCGGGTTCTCTCGCTTCGCTGGAGTCCCTGTTCGTGTAGCTGACCTGGTCGAGCCATATCGTGTATTCCTTCTTTTGCCAAACGGGCCCGTCTCTTCTGGCGGTCGTCGAGGGTTACGGGATTCACTGTTTGCTAGCGTTAGCCATTATGCCATTTTCAAAGGGCTTAACCGGGTTTCAAGTCGCAAAACAACAGGTCAAGGCAGCTCATTTAGCATATTCAGGCCGTGTTATGGAGTACTAGGGCTGGCTTACTCCTTGTAAACATATCCCCATGGCAGTGTGTTCCCTTTCTCATCCTTCGCGCGCTCCTCGAGCGGTACAGAGTGGTATTCCATGGCGCTTGATTAAATAACCAAGAGACCCAGCCTATGCGATGCTTTGGAGACTCACTGCCGGCAATGCCTACCAAGCAACAGAAGCAAAGCTGCTGCGTTGCGATGCTGAAGCTGTCGAAAGCTCTAACGCTCTTGTTTAATATTTATTTTATTATTTTTATTTTTTTCTCTATTTTAATGACGTCGGGAGCCTCCCACGTGATATTGATTAGTAATATATTATTAATTTCATATTAGTCATCACTGGCGGTTTGACTTTTTCCGACGCTTTTGCACTTTCTATCGCTTTCTCGCACTTTTTCCCTCCTTCTGCTTGTAACCTCAAAGTTCTGTTTGCCATTATCTTAAGAGATCAAACGCTCGCCTTCCCCGGCCCGAAGAAATCAGCAAATACGCCCTGCTCTACTACATATGTCCATAGTCTAATCGAACCTTATCCTCGATTTTAACGCAGCTGACCAATAGAAACTTGTTCCACTGCCCCGCTCGCCTGAACTTACGCTGCGACCAAGCGGCTCCAACGCTGGATATAGCTTAGCCAGAAGATGACCAGAGCAGAGATATATCGTACTACAGAGTACAGCTGCTAGAACATTACTTTTCTCAACTTTTCATCTGGGAGCTGAGGCAAAAACTGTTGAACCGATGGATGTCTCGGCACACTAAAGAGAGCAGCATGTATACGTGGGAGGGATCGTTAACTACGTGCTACAAAAGGGATACCTTTCTTTGCCAATTGAAGGCGTCAATCGCGCTCTATATTCAGTTAAAGGTGGCATCGACATGAACAAACTGGGCCAGTAGCATGACATACGCACTAGAAAATACCAAGCCAGCCGAGGATTCAGTCCATTTCACATACTCCGTACTGGCGTTAACACCATCCCAAGTAATCGAAAGGGGTCAGCTTATTTTGGAATACCATGCATCAAAGCCACGTGGGTCAACAGCCAGCTTAGTAGGCCAGTCGACTAGTGGATATGATTCCCAACATTATATGCCATGCCTGGTGAGTGAAAATGAAGGATAATATAGCACAGGTTGCGATTACACAATCCGTCTTCTCCAACGTCATCCAGAGTCTCTGTTAATCCAGGAATCTAGAATACTGGAATCAGGGAAACATCTACAATTGCCGTGCCACTCGAGACAAAACTTGTCAGTGAAGGAAAGGTCTATTTGCACTAATTACTGGAAGAAAAAAAATGGTTCAAACTCCCAAAAGGCCCATCCCATGAGGCCGAACAAAAGCTGCTGAACTGGTACAAACAGGGGCGTAAGTTTCTAAAGTTTGTGGAAGCTATTGGGTGCGGCAAGTACCTCAATCTAAATTCAGATGAGCATAAAGTGTTGACCAGAATCCTGCCATAAGAGTGTAGATGGTGTTGATTCTAAAGTCTATAGCCTCATGTCGCTGCTGTCAGAGCTGGAAGACAGGTCATATATGCTCTCAAAGTGCTCGTCCACTTCATCTGAGTCCATTGCGATGACATCATCCCCAATATCCATTCGTACACTATCTGACTCGTCTGTCTCGGCCACTGTTCAATATCTGTGAATAGAGACGAGTGGTCAGATTCAAGAGCTTCTCTACCCCTACCATATTCATTTCTAGGCCAATCTGACTTCTTTGATATCCCCAGACCAGCCATATATAAGGTTTCAAGAGGCTTTAATGCAGGGTCAGAACATCGAGTTTTGAGCAAGGTGGCTGAAGCAATTGGTACTAGTCTTGATGGATCCGATATCAAGGCTACCTTTCTCATGTCATTTGGAAAAGGTGCAGTTGAGGCTCGTTTTACATTTGGATATGCCGTGAACGCCTTCAAATTGGAGTGTTCCCTAACCAGCCACATCTTTCCAAAGGGGCTAAGTACAAGGTATATTCTGGAGCACGTAGCCATATAGATTGCAAGTAATCACTGGTATTTTGCTACTTTATCAACATAGCTAACTGCTATCAAGTCACTGAGGAAGCAGTGAAATCAGAGTGACATCCCCAGCCCTAACTGACGGATAAGTGTAAGCAACCGGACAGACTAGAGGAGACTGTGATTAGTTCGGCAAAGAGGTAGTGGGTGACAGAAGAGGCATATGTGCTGCCGTGAGGCATGTAACCAATCTTTAAGAACTAACAGAAAGACGCAAAACGGGCGACAACAAGAAAAAGCAAGCCGAGTAACCGAGTAAGGAAGATAAAGGGAAAAAAAAAAAGAATAACTCCAAGAAGAAGAAGAAGAAGAAAAGTAAATAAGACAAGGATATAAAAGTCGGCACTGGTATCAAGTAGATCGGAAAAAACAAGCAACGAGTGCACAAGTAATGAGGACCGGGGGGGAAGGGAAGAAGAAAAACGAGGACTAAACATGCAAAAAGATGA